GAGTAGAGAAAACAGCGGCTGAAGGTGCTATTCAACTTCAACGGTTGAAAGAGGATAAAGAAAATGAAAAAAAAGAATTGGATGAGGTTTTGAAGAAGTATAACAAAAGGGCTAGGGAATAGGAAAGGCTAGATGAATTCAGTTGTAAATCTCAATTGGTTTGTCAACTAAATCATATTGTAGAATATGAATATTTAAATTATTATTAGCCAATTATAATTATTTATTATGCGTCTTGATTAAGTATGAATTAATGATTGATTGATGCTGCAAGTTTACGGGACTATTAAAGTTAGGGCTGTACACAGTTTGGTCTGGACCGTAACCAAACCAGACCAAACCGCATTTTAGCGGTTTGGTTTGGTTTACGGTTTGAAAAAATACGGTTTGGTTTCGATTTTTTGGGAAATACGGTTTGCGGTTTAATATTTATATAATTTTTAAATAAATTATAATAGTTATGACATATTATTAAAAAAAATAAATAAATAAAAACATGAAAAATCATTAGAAGACTATACAGTCAATATACTACTATACTCTATACTCAATCTCAAATATCAATACTTAAAATTCAATAGGTCATATAACTATAATGTAGTATGAATTATTTTTTTGGACAAATGTATTATGTTTTTTTCCACTGTTAATTTGTTATGTATTATTTTTATTATGTGTTATTGTGTTAGCACTTAGCACTTGATTAGTTTGTTGTTATTTTTATTAAAAATTTGTAGTAGAATTTAATCCCTTGGGCTAATTATTTGAACTTTATTATAAATTTATTAATATTTGACAATTTTTAGGAAAAAATGTCGTCTCATCATAAACCGCATACCAAACCGCACCAAACCGCATTATTACGGTTTGGTTTGGTTTGGTTTCGATACTAATATGGTTTGGTTTGGTTTCGATACTAATATGGTTTGGTTTGGTTTGTAAAATTGACCAAACAGTATTTTGCGGTTTGGTTTGGTTTCGATACTAATATGGTTTGGTTTGGTTTAGAAAATTGACCAAACCGTATTTTGCGGTTTGGTTTGGTTTAGAGTCAAACCATACCAAACCATACCATGTTCAGTTATACTATAATATTACTATTTAATTTATTAAAGTTATTATGAATTAATAATGCATTAGTTTCTAATCAATCTAAAATGCATGCAATAAATCAGTAAAATATTTAGCAATCAGTAAAATATTTAACATCTGAAATTAAATAAAACCATAATAAAACATCAAAATCAAATGACAAACAATATATGCAAGTAAAGTCATACATCAAAATCGAACACATAACATAATTATGAGTAATTTTTGGCAAAACTCCTAATTTAAAGGTTAGAGATATGATGAGAAGATTAATCTCTGATCTAATATGTACTAATATTTAAGTGTGTAGTATTAAAATGTGTAACCCAAATTTTATTTAAATTAATTTCATTTATTTCAAATACTCAATCATTAATGAACCGTACCCAATATCAAGCCGCACTGATACAACCCCAAACCGAGAATCAAGTATTTAAACCATTGAAGAGTGACCCAAAGTTACTAGTTAATAATTCCAAACCTTTAAAAACATCCCGTTACAAACCGAAAACCGATAAACCCAACACAAAACTGAACGAAAAACCTGAATGACACTCTTAGTTATTATTATCTTAAGTGTCACTTCGTTTTACGTGCACGGAGTGAAAAAGTCAACTATTCCCTTTTGCATCCTAAAGAAGGAATTTGAAAGGACAATTAAAAACTGACGGCTTGCCTTTGCAATTAAACACATCTACCCATCATTCCTCAGCAATCAGAAATGCCTTTTCATATCAATCTTCTTCTTCCATTGTTTTTACTTCAAAGCTTCAAACCTCTCCCATGGCAGGAAGCGATGATGACACCTCGTTCAATGATTGGTACCGAAATTTCCTTGTAAAAAGGAAAGATAATGTAAAGGGACAGTTCATTGCATCCAATCAAATTCATTTTCAACTAAAGCATAAGCTTAAAATGCTTATGGAAGAGATGAAAGACATTGATGCTGAAATTGCTAAATGCGATGAGGAAGCAAGAAACAAAAACAAAGAAAAGGACTCAAAATGTGCTGAGGATGGCGAAAATAAAAAAAGGGTAAGGATTTAAAAATTGGTAGCGATTTTAAGTCTCCGATTGATCTTGATAGTGATACGGACGAGGAGCCAGTCAGGAAGAGAAGAATTGTGGGTGTCAAAGGAAAAGGATGTGAAAGCAAGGGTGAGTGTAGTAAGTTTATATGACTTTGATTTAGACTATGAAGTTGTGGATTAATTTCTTCCTTAGTGCATTGCAAATTAGGTACTTGTAATATTGTTTTTGGATGTCATGATATGGATGCTTTGCTAGCAATGTCTGCTTTCTATATTTTGTGTTATTAGTGGTCAATTTCCATTTTGGAGATGTTTAACTTATGTAATTTCTCTAGCATTTCTTTGCTTAATTATTAGTTGGTAAACTTGTGAATTTATGTTTTATTTCAACACTTACTAGACAATTAATTGGTGATTTGTTGGAAGAATTATAGTTGATTTTACTGCTTATATTTTGATTGTTGGTAAACTTGTGAATTGATTGTTGGTAAACTTGTGAATTTATATTTTATTTTAACTTATGTAATATTGAATATAAATATTTCTTTCAAATAACGAATTAGTATAGCATTTATAAAGAAATTATCAGGACAAAAAATTACAAAATATTTTGATTGGGATTTTGGGATCGTATTTAAATATCCGATTTTCATTTCCACTAGATAATAGAGATGCATAAGATTGCATTTGAAATCATAAAAGAAATTTCGGATTAGGACGTAGGTTCTAGACTTTTTAAACACATGAAAAACAAGTACACAAAACACCTAAACTAGCACTAGGTCTACATCAAATATAAGATGATTTGATGTCCTAGACAACGTTATGAAAGCACCTTAGTTCTCTTGAACATTGTAGCGATCGAGAAAATCCCTCAGCTTTCTTATAAGGCACTCAGTGATCACACCGTTTTTTCTTTCAATGTATAATTCCACATCGAACTGAGTGTCAAACTTTTGGAGCACAACATGATAAGTTGTCTCGAGGTAATGAACTAGCCAATGCCTTGCAAAATCAATTGGGATATTCTGCATAAAAAAGTAGAATAAGAATTAAAAGCGTGATTTCACTTAATAAAAGCGTGATTTCACTTAATAAGCTCATACCATGTGACAAGTAAACTTATCAAAGTCTTATAATCAAGATACTTACAATAGCTGCTTTACGAAGATAGGCTGCAGTAACAATAAATCGGAAATTTGGTGAAGGGCAACCTTGCGCAAGATCATCAATCCATTCATTAGTCTCGATCATTTCCGGAGAAGACCTCAGATAAGCCGGTATACGCCCAATACGTCTTTTACTAGAACTCCCAACGTCTTTACCTTTTCCTATTCCAATTATCACCTATAATGATTTTAATTCAAATCTGGACTACAATAGCATTGTGCCCTGAGTAAGTGAAATACGAATGTCCCCAGAATTTAAGCAATTGTCTTTCACAAACTCAGGCCAACCAGGTTTCAAGATAGTTTTCCAGCCATTATTGACATCCTCGTCATCCTCTTCATGCACCATAGTTACTTTCCACTCTTTAACACTACCATGCAACAATATGCGTACACGCAAAGAACCATTGTCTAAAACCTCTCTAAACACACCAGGAATGGGCTGAGTATACACACACATTTGAATTAAAATCATTGCAGGTGATAATTGGAATAGCACCAAACTAGAGTATAATTAAAAAAAAAAACTACAAACTAAAACGAAATAAGATGGAAACTCTGGTTTTTCCATACCACATACCAGGCTAATTTTCCCATCAAAAATTCAACATAGTAATAATTATTCAACATGTCCATTCACAATAAACTTCTATACATGCATAAGTAGAAATTTTTTATTCATTAGAACAACAACCAAAAAGCTAATCATTCAATGACAATTAAATGTTGCAATTGTAACAAATTAAAATAAAAATTCAAACAACTTATAATAAAAATTCACCAAACTTAAAATCTTTGATGCTGAAAAGTATACTACTCAACAGTTATAAAATATAAGATACTAGGGATAACACAATTAGAATAGCACAATCCAACTTAATTGTTGCAACACTAATTAAAATTAATGAAAATTCTGACTTATTAAATCCTTACCACGCTACGTTGATGCTTAGTAGCATACTCAACAGTAAAGGGAGCAGTGAGTGAAGCCATAGAAGCCTTTATGCAAATGGAAAATCAAAGACTTAGCCCTTGGCTATTATATAAAAAATCTTCAAAAAAGGTTATCACCGTACTAAAATACTAATAAATGTTTGGCAGAAATCAATAAGTAAGATTCTTTTCCAAAAAACTACATATTCCCATCAAAAATTCAACATAGTAATAATTATTCAACATAGTAAGAATAAGAGGTCAAAGTAGATATGTTTTTTGTCATTCATATGTCCATTCACAATAAACTTCTATACATGCATAAGTAGAAAATATTTTTTACAAACATTTTATTAATTATATTATTAATTGACTTAATCGTTCATTAGTGTAAACAAATAATTCAAGTATTATAAAATCAGTCCTTTATTTTTAACGAGTCCTTTATTACTAATTGATTTAATTTTATTACTAATTGATTTAATATGATTTTTAATTTTTTCATTTATATTAATAATTACATTGACTTAATTGTTCATTAGTGTAAACAAGTAATTCAAGTATTATAAATTTTGTACATAATAAGTAAAGTACAACAACACTAATTTTTCCTGACGAGGGATAGCAACGGGTCAAAATGGTAAAGATTCCACTGTCAAGAATATGAGAAAGTTACTTTCGTATTCCTTACCATAATCCTTACACTCAAAATTTCAATGACACTAATCATGATAGGTAGAATAGATCAAGTAAAGAGATTAGATCACACAGTATCTAAATATGAAACGAGAACACCATTAACAACACAAAGTTTCTAAATCGAGCTCACAATTAACATAATTCGGGTGTTTGGATAACAAACTCAGGACAACATTCACCATGATAATAAACTCACTCTAGTGTTTGGATTAAACTTTTTAAGCCCACATATGTGATATCTCACAAAGCCAGATTAATTAGAATAAATGGGAGTCTGTAGAATATTCCTCCGTCAGTATCTACAGAGGAAGTTCTTCACATGATACTTGAACTTCAGTCGAAACATTCCAAAACTCAGCATATGGGTTATGACCCTTTTTACGCTTCACCTGCAATGAAAAAATGTTAACATCATATAGAATGTTAACAACATATAGCAGCTTTGGGTGAAACAGCTTCCAGAATGTTACCGGTAACTTCGTTTTGACATTGGAGCTACTGGGTCGGGGTTCAACTGACTGACCTTTATTGTCACAGTCCTGCAAGCAATTATAACATAAGAGAGTTAACATATCCAGAAGAATACATGCAATTAAGGAAAAATAAAAACCTCTAGTGTTACATGTAAGACCTTTCTTGTGTTAGGCTTGGTGGTATTGTAACCTAACTCAGCAAGGGTTTTGTTCCGAGATCCCTTTGGACGGCCTCGAAGTTTTTTTTTAATTATTGGATCTTTAACTCCATCATTGTTGGTTGTAGATCCTTTACTAATATTGGGGTTAGGTCTGGCACAACCGGTGTTCGGTGTCACTGCATGGGGTGATGCTTGGTGAGTAGATCTTGGTGTGATCGCTTGGGGAGTTGATTGGTGACTAAGAGTTGATCTTGGTGTGAATGCTTGGGGAGTTGATTGGTGAGTAGGATTTGAACTTGGTGTGGTGGCTGGTTGAGGAACTGGAAGTGAAGACCCAATTTCAAAGGTCGGTAATGCAGTATTCTCCACTAGTTTTGCGCGACTTGCTCTAACCTCTTCACGTAGCTTTTTAACTGCTGCTTGGACGATCTCTACTGTGTCATCATTTACTGTAGACGCTTCCTCGCACAAAGATTCAAGATCTGGTAGCAACGTGTTGTACCTTTTGCATTCCTCTGTTTGACTTGGATCATGGTATGCAACTTTGACCCGGGTGTGCCTCCTAATCACGTCTTTCCGCCATCGGGAAATTACGTACTTGGGGGGAATATCTTTGACCTTATTCTGATCCCACACTCTTATGACGTGCCTACATAGAATCCCATCCTTCTCAAACTTACGACAGTCACAACTACATTCTTTTGTAACTGGATTGAATGTCACTGTGTAAAACCTGTAGCACTCAGTCACTACATCTTCATTGGTGCCACTTTTCCTGATCCAAACTCGATCTTCAATCAAGTACTGAATTGCAGTGGCACTTATAATGTCCTCCACCTTCGGAACAACATACAACATTCGAGCACATTCTCTTTGGAATTCCTAAAATTTTGCATCAGTGTAAATTTTTTGGAAAAATCTCTCCACATTAAATACACTAACAAGACGCCTGATGTATTTGCGGTCCCTATCATCAGCATCTATCTCATCATCCACACGCTTTTTCAGAGCTTGAGAATATTTTTTTGGAAATTCATAGAGTTTAGTGTGCCTATTAACAAATCCATCAAAGAACCTATTAATGCTCTCAACCCTCTGCGTCGTTTTCATCCCAGCCCAAAAATACTCTTTCATATACGCAGGCACCCACATGTGCCTCTCTACAAACAACTCTTGGAGCCATTCATTTTCTTACAAATCATACAACTTCACTGCTTCACACCACCTTCTTTGGAATTCATCTATTGTGAAGCTGTCGTATATCACATTCTTCAAAGGATTCTTGAAATCGTTATACCTAGAAATAAGGTCAGAATGTTTTCTATTGCTCCACAGCTTATAATGCACATGTAATTAACTGAGGAAAAACAACTCAAAACCTAATCCAAATCAGTTAAACAAAATTTTACAAAGCAACACAACCTAATCCAAATCATCAAAATTCCATTTAGAATACAAGAGACATTTAACTCTTTAGCCTATCACAGAAATTACTTACTTGGCACACTTCCCAAGTTTCTCAGGAAATTTCCTCAGTATATGCCATATACACCATTGATGTCGGGTGTTAGGCATAACTTCAGCTAGTGGCTTCCTCATTGCAGCTGCTTGATCAGTTAAAATAGCTGCGGGAGCTTTGTTGCCCATACAAGTCAACCATTGTCGGTAAATCCAAGCAAAAGTGTCACAGTCTTCACGTGAAACAAGAGCACATCCTAACAACAGAGAATGACCATGTTGGTTCACTCCAACAAAGTTAATAAATGGGAGATCGTACTCATTTGTGATATAGGTCGCATCAAAACAGACAACATCTCCAAAATCTTCATACGCTATTATACTCCTAGCATCAACCCAAAGTACATCCTTCAACCGACCTTCTTCATCCAACCTATGAGCATGGAAGAATTTCGGATTTTCAGCCTGCATGTAGTCAAAAAACGCCATCATCGCTTTTGCATCTCCACCCGCCATCTTTGACCGTTTATCCTTATAAACCTCATGTTGCATATCCTTAACATTAGGCAAATTTCCATTCTCCGTGCTCATACATCCACGAATTTGACTCACCGGTACTCCAACCTCATAATAATTAATCAATTTCCTACGAACTGACGGCGTCATCTTCTTCATATGAAATTCTTTAACTAACTAACTTAGCCAGAACGGGGTCCAAGGTATGAGTATGCTCCAACTCCACCGTTATCAAAACCCAAAGCCCTTCACGATTAACACTGCCGTAAATCCTAGCTTGGCAATAACATTTTTTCGACTTCCTTCTACCCCTAGCAAGCTCATCCTCCAAGATGTCACCATTCTCATTAGCAACACATCCGCCAATTTCCATTAACTTTGCCCTTTTATTTGCGTCACGCTTTGCCCTCATATTTGGGGCACCCCAACATTTACACTTCCAGTTCATTCCCCTTCTCTTTTTCTTAATCGTGAATGCAATGTGAACCCTGCTAACTCCAAAGCCACATTGCTCTGCGTATGATTTATAATATTCCTCTATTTCCTGCCAGCCATTGAACACCATTCCAACTTTTGGAGGTTCAATAGAGGTCATCACAGACTTTGTAGAAACAGTTTCAGGGCTCTCTATGGTCTGAATTGGCCCAATTGGGGAAGAGATCTCCCCCATTGGTGTAAGGGAAATGTTTTCCAGCTTGTCTGTATTAGGGCTTATTTCAATCAATGCCCCTAACTCATCCATCTCTGACCTTATTCCTAAATTACTACTAACACCACAGGTCACTGTGAAGACACTAGTAGAAATCCACCCAACATCAGCCAAAACAGTAGAAATCCAAAAACAAGATTAGGTCATACACACATCAAGTCAATCAAAACCACTATATAATTAAACAAGTTCGCAATCAAAATTCAAAGGAAAATTTAGAAACCTTGCATTTATTTAATGTGATTCAAAACAAGACTAACAGAACACTGCCTAACTCCAACACACTATATAACAACAATGTGGCTAGATTATGAGGTAATTAAACAGATGTATAACAACATGAACACCAATTTCACCATATTACAGAAACAATTTCACCAATTTACATCAAAGAACACACAAATCAAGTAGTCAAAAAAGTACATAACACCGATTAAACCTACATTAACACCAATTTCACCAGATTAAAGCATCCTTTCGCCAATTTACACACAAATCAATCTCAAAACAAGCAAATTGCAAGTAACTGAAATGAAACAATTAAAAGCTTAGTATAGTTTGACCTAACCTTCGAAGCAACCATTTACAGCAGCTGGTGATCCATGGCAATCTAAACCATGACGAAAGTGAGGAAAAATTGAGGAGATGCGGCAAGAGGGGGAGCAAAAATTGGGACGACAGTGGAGAGAGAATGAAGAGGATGAGCAACAGTTGGGTAGGGGGGAACTTAACGTCGTTAGTTCACCTCAAACCCCAACATTTACAAAAAATAATAAAATAATAACAAATCCCACGTGGAAGGTGAGATATCCGAAAACCAAAAATCACTGAGAGTAACTGGGCAGTACTCCTTAAATACTCCCTGGAAAAAATTGTCTCGTCTTTCAAAATAATCACACCTTTTAATTATTCTTTTTTAATAATCCTAGTGTTAATGTTAATCTTTTTCAAATGTTTACAAGTGACCTGTAAACAATAGAGTAGATTTAAAAAAAAAAATTAATTTACATATGTCAATACGTGATTGGTAAAAAAAAAAATTATTAAAAGAAACCTACATAAAAAAGGTAAAATCTAATTTAAAAAACACAAAAATTTAATGAATGGCGGTGTTGAGCATGCGAAAGTTTTACAGAGTACTACAGTTTCTATTTTTCTCTCTCCTCATGGGTTTCTATTTGATACTCCCTCCGTTTCATAATGTTAGTCCCATATGGAATCAATCACATAAAATAAGAAAACAAATATATTTAGAATCTAACATTAAAGTACAACAGATTTCATAATTAGTTTACCTTATTTAACTTTTTTTTATTTTTCATTAGGAAAACACAAGTCATAATTGCATAATATAAGGTAAAAATTTCCCTGCTTAGAGTCATGTCATCAATCAACAATCAATTAAAGTAAAAAAAAAATCAAGTCATAAATGAAATATATTCAATATGGGTAGAACTTTTTGAAACGCCCAAAATAATATATGGGACTAACATTATGAAACGGAGGGAGAACTTCTCTCTCCTCTGCACTTCTTCTTTTCTCTTTCTTTCTCCTTTGTTCTTCAATTTCCTTCTTCTTTTCGATTTTATCTTGATTTTGTAACATAATTTTCCTGTTTTGATCAACAATGATTCATCTTTCTACAGCCAATTTCGAGGTATGTATGTTCATCTAATTTTTCTCCCACTACGGAAGCCGCCACCACCACCATTGCCACGAGCTTGAGACTCGTTAACAGGAAAAAATGAATAGAAATTGATAGTTCATCTTTCATAACAGATCAAGTAACAATAGTAGCAATAATAACATATCAAAGTAATAGAAATTTCGAATCAAAGTAACCGAATATGGGTTACTTTTGAAAAAAAAACCAAAAAAAACTAGTGAGATTTTTGATACTACGTTTTGCAATTTGCATATGTAAGTGAATTACTTCTGTGATAAAAAGGATCACTTTTGTGAAAAAAGGTCACTTTTGTGAATAAAAAGGTCACTTTTGTAAAAAAAAAAAGGTCACTTTCATGAAAAAAGGGTCGCTTTTCGCAAAATATTCGATGTACAATAAAACTAGTGTAAACCGAGGGCATGCAAAAGGTTTTGTTTAAAAAAACCACCACCACCTAAGCCACACCACTTTAGCCACTACCATCCCCACCCAAGATCCAAAACCACCACCACCTAGATACCGACCGTGCCGATCAGGACCCCACCCAACGCAACCACAAAACCCTTTTCGAAGTCCCACTAACCCTAAGACCACTCAAAACCCCACCTAACCAGATTCCAGGAAAACGGGGTGGGAAGGTTGGCGCAGCCGAAAATCGTGGGGAAGGGGGAGGTTGGCGCAGCAGGCTGGTTGTTTTTTTTAAAGAAATTAATTAATGATATTTTTCTTTAAAAATAATTTTAATTTTATTTGGACTAATCAGGTGCCGACATGTGTTAGGTAACTTGCTATAACAAGTTAGTTGATCGATTGGGACCATTTGAAGCGGATTGACATTGGTCAAATTATTAAAAGATAGCAAAGGTCGGATTGACCTTAGCAATTTTTCCTAATTTTTAAAAGCCAGTAACAAATTTACCCAAATTTCTCAAGGTACACTATACTATTAAATTGCTTTTTATCCATAATTGATTGAGTGTTGTTTGCTTGTTAATGTGAAATAAATAATTGATTGAGTGCTGTTTGCTAGTTAATGTGAAATAATTAAGCTCTTTGAGTGTTGTTTGCTTGTCAACGTGAAATAATCTAGGACAGAGAGATTAATTTGGAATGTTTGGCAAAAATCTAATTCAAAGAGCTTATCCCACTAATATCTCAATGTGAAATTACATTGTATAGCCCATTGAATCCAGTACCTTATTTCAACAACCTACCCCCACATAGGGGTGCCAATTCAAGTAAACATTTTGGGTTTGGGTTGGGTTTATCAGTTTCGAGTTATAACGGATCGTTTTATAACGAATTGAAATGATTATCGGGTCGGTTTTGGACGTTTTTGAAAATCATCGAGTGGTTTCTGTTTGGTTTTTTTTTATTGTAGTTTCTATTTGGGTCGGGTTGTAGTTGGTTCGAGTCATAATCAATTCGGGTTGAAGCGGGTCAGTTTGAAAACGAGTTTAGCCAGTCTAGAGTAGGTTTTGGTTCAAAACAGTTCGGGTTGTAGTCGGTTCAAGTCATAATTAGTTTGGGTTAAAATGAGTCGGTTTGATAATGGATTTCGATTCAAAACAAATCGAGTGAAATCGATCGGGGGTCCGGTCATTATCGATTTAGTTCATAATCGGTTTGGATTGAATTTGGTCAATTTGAAAACAAATTTACCCAATTTGAAGCAGGTTTCAGTCCTAATCATATTGGGTAAAAATCGAGTCGGATCATTATCGAGTCGAGTTAGCCCGATAACGGGTAGAAACGGGTCATGTTATAATCAAGTTAAATCATAAATAAGTTGGGTTTATCGAGTAGTGGGTTGAAACAGATAGAATCATAAACATATTGGGTTACGGGTTGTAAACGACTCGATCATAAACAGTTTAGTCTCAACGACGGGTTACGGGTTATGAACAATTCAGCTTCAACGGGTTATGGGTTGGAAACGATTCGGTCATAACGAGTTATGGATTATTGTTGACCCTTATGAGGTTTTGATGATGATGTTAAGAATTGAGCAAACTTCCTTTAAATAAGGATTTTCTAGTGTTGTGATGTTTGCAGGTTCAGTAAGCGATGGGAGCTGAAGTAGGAACTGAGACAAAGGAACTTTAGAAGATCCATGAGGACAAGTAAAAGACAGAAGAAGAGTTCCAGCAATGGAACTTCCCGAAGTTTCTTAACAGGAACTTCAAAACGGGTTGTAACGACTTGGTTCCGGTGTAATGCTGGGGCAAGCCTCAACAACCAAGGATCAGTGCAAAGATCGAGATATCAACCAAAAAAGATGGACTTCATAACTTATAGTTGTATAAAAGATAAGTTTGTTTTGTAGGTTGATGTAAACATGTTAATGGTTGTTATGCATGGAATTTATTAGAAATCAGATAAGGCTTGGAAAACTAATCAATTCGTATAAGATAATTATAAGTTTGGTTTTATGAAAAAATATTTATTTGATTTTATCCTTAAAATCTGATTTAACTCGGTTTTATCTTTTTCATAAAATTCTATCTTTTAATTAAAACGAATTTGATAAGATTTGGTTTTCAAATAAAACAAAATTAAATCTGGTTTGGTTTCGGTTTTTAAAGAGATAAAATTAGATTTTTGTTTAACTTATCTTATTTACGAAAAACTTACTTTGTGAGCTGAGGAACCTCTATAAATATAGAAGTAATTCAGCGAAGCAAAATGAGAGTTTTAAGCGTGAAAACCACTTAGTGCTTAAGAGTAAGTTTGCCAAAGGTTAAAGCTTTATCATTTTGATTTCGGGTTTCATGTGTAGCTTTCCATTTATGTGTTAGAGTGTGTCTTTGTGTTGTAATTGGTTTTGGGGTGAGATTGTGGATTCTCTTAAATTCACGTTTACGTTTGTGTTTGAATTCTCTAAAATTCGAGTGGTAGCTGTGAGTGCACAGTGAGTGAAAGGAACCTGAGAGGTGTCTTGGGTCACCTAGGAAGTGTCCTGGGTAGAGGAAGAAAAGGGTCCTAGGAGGTGTCTTAGGTCTGGTAGGAGGTGTCCTATCATATAGTCAAGTGTTCGTGGTGGAACTTGCAAAGCAAAGGTCTGTGTAATAGGTTGTACTAGGAGAGTTGCCTATTATAGTGGAATTTGTTTATAAGTCCCAATAGGGCCGAGGTTTTACTTCCAGTTAGGCATTGGATGGTTTCCTCGTAAAACTTGATGTGTGCTTTAAGTTCCTTTACGTTTTAATTGTTTATTTCCGCTAAAGTTCCGCTATTGGAACCTACTACTATTCACCCACCCTCTCGTAGTAGTTCATCTAAACTAATAATTATAAATGGTTCGGTCACAACAGGTTACAGGTTGGACCGATTTGGGTTTGTTGGATTTTTACCGGGTTCACGCGTTTTCAGTTTAAAATGGGTTGGATTACTATCGGGTTCAGTCCTAATCATTTCGGGTTGTTTTCAGTTTTGGGTAGTAACGGTTTGGCTTGATAACGGGTCGGGTTAGTAATGGTTCGCACAAATTTGGTTCAGTTCAGTTTCGGGTTAGAAAAAATTTGATCTGGTCAGTTTTTGATTTTCAAAAAAGGGTTTTTAATGGTTCATTTCCTTTTCGGATCGGTTCGAAAGAGTCGGGTTTAACGATTCGGGTCAAAAACTGAATCGTTAAAAATCCACAATTAGCTTATTGGCTATTGAATGCTTAAACAACTTTAACCAATCAACTATTTACCAAACAGTTTTATACAATTAGCTAATACAATCAGCTATTAAAAACTATTTAATACTTAATACAAATGAGACTATTTTATATTAGGAAATTTTGCAAAAACCACCTTCTAATTTTTTTTTTGCTTATAACCACCTTTTAAACGACCACCAGTTCAATGTAAAACAATTGATAAATTTGGCTAAAAAAGTGGTAATTTGTAACATTTTGTTTTTAAATTGGTGGTCTTTTGCAATATTTTTTTTTAAAGGTGGTTATATGAAAAAAAATAATAATTTAATAGGTGATTTTTTGTAAAATTTCCTTTATATTACAACTCTTTTTTTTCCCTAAAACTTTGTACCCATTGTTGCGATTTTTATAAAACAAAAGGAGTACGATTATTACGAAATGGAGAATAGTCCATAATAGTCCATAACATTTTATTTACTCCGTATATAAAGTGAACAAAATGTGTAAAATGAATCCACATGTGCATAGCTCTAAAACCCGTATTCCGAAAAGCACATTACAACTCCTCCCTGAGAGCTTTGGTTAGGCGGCGGAAGCGGCGGCAGTAGAACAAGCGAAGGTTGAAAAAACTCATAAAATGTCGAGGACGTTGTTACAGCCGATAGGCCAGAAGCGCCTCACAAACGTTGCCGTAGTTCGATTGAAGAAGCATGGCAACCGCTTTGAAATTGCTTGCTACAAGAACAAAGTCCTCTCTTGGCGTTCTGGCGTGTAATCTTCTCTCTCTTTCTATCTGAAATGAATTATTGATTGTATTTCCAATTCAATATTGGGTCAAATTTGATTAGGGTTCTTTCTTACTTGTATGAATTAAT